CACAGGAAGAGTATATCTAAAATGGCCTCCAATGGCCTCCAAGGCTGTTGAGATAGTAGGCTGTACTACAATTGTAGGAGATGTTCTGGTAGAATTTGATTGTAGGGAAAATGTGGTCTCTAGTTTTGTAATTTCCTTTAGTATATAATCTTCATTTGCAATGTTATTGAAATAATACAAAGAAACTACAGATAATTTTATGCCAATGCACTTGAGAAAGATGAAGTAGTAAATTCTTTAAAAGGCTCTAACAATTGAAACTCAATAAAAATATAGATATACAATTGTAACTGCTCCATTCAAAAAAAATCAATTTTATAGTTAAAGCAGTCATCATGGCCAATTGGTCTTTGTATAAGAAATACAAGGTTAATGTCTCTATCAAAGTTAATCAATGCAATTTGCTGTATTAGAAAATATTGGGAGAAAATTTTATTATACTCAATTGGCACAAAAGTATTCAACAAATCCAATATCTATTCTTTCGTGAAATTCCGCCAGCAAAGTAACATAGAAAATAACTTCTTTGACTTCATAAAGGCCACTCAGAAAATACTTATAAACCTTATGTTGAGAGACTGAATTCTTTCCTCTTTTGAATAGGAATAATAGGCAGACTTTCTTTGGCAAGTTCTACTTAACATTCAATTACAAATTCTTCCTGCAATATAAAAAGTATAAAAAGACTTTTGTTATGCAAAAGTTTTCATTTGTATGATTGCCTATGTAGAAAATTAAATGTAACCTATAATAAAATCATTAAAACTAACAAATGAATTAAACAAGGATGTAGAACACAAGATGAACTGTTTTATAAAGATTAATTGAATTTCTATATACTAAAAATACACATATAAGTGAAAGAAATCACAAATTATTATAGCAACAAAACTGGAATAGTTAAGCATAAATGGACAGAAATCAAATAATGGCTGTAGATTTTTAAAGAATCCTTGAAAGTAATTAAAAAAAACTAAAAATGATTCATGAGTTGAAAGGCTCAGTATTGTTAACTTACGCATAGCTCCAGAACTATCTCAAGCAAACATATTTAGCTATTTTTGTAGAAGTAGAAATGTGTTTATTATGAGAAAACAAAGGATCTGGAATAACTAACAAACATAAGGAGAGAACTAGAAGTTGCAACACTGGTATTACTTTGAATTGAGATGGAAATCGTTTTTATTTTTATTTTTTTATTTTTTATTTTTTTTGAAAGAAAGGCAATTTTATTAAAAAGAAAAACAACAAAAGGGAGATGGGACCAGAGCACAGGTTAGTCCATCTAGAGCACAGGTTAGTCCATCCGGGCCTTCAGCGTTCTGGTAGTGATCTTGTCTTTCTCAATGATGTGGACAACAATGCCCATGCCTGAGACGGCATCCCGGTCCACAGCGTTCAGCATGGCCTGGGAAATGGTTTCAAACAGGTGCTCTGGATCCATGTTGGGCTCCCAGAGAGACTCACACATCCCGTACATCTGTTCGGAGCAGGTACCACTGACTACAAAGTCGTCCGTCACCATGGGACAGCCAATGAGGTCCAGAGAGCAAATGAAGGGCTTAAAGGTCTTCGGGTCCAGGCCAGCAATGACAGGCTCTGTGTAGTAGGGACCAAACCGTTTCTCATACAAGAGGTTGGCCACCATGCTCATGAGGGTGTAAGGCTTGATCTGCCGACCTTCCTTCAGCTCATACAGGTTCAGTCGGAACTTGAGACGCTGGGCAACTGTCTGGACGTCAGTGGCCAGGCCGGCCAGGCCTATGTAGAGCCTGTCACCCATGGGAAAGATCTTCTGGAAGTCCGTGGTCACCATCTGGGCCTGGATCCCGAAACGCCTGTCGGCAGCGATGGCCACACAGTTCTTTCCTTTCATGGCCATGACGGCCCCTCCATTATAGGACATAATAGACATGATTGCGATGTATTGGGAGCACGACCACTACTGAGTTGCCTGCAAACCGGCTCTGGCTTTCTCAGGCCGTTTTTATTATAAAGGTAGGTTAGTACTGGTGTGCCAAAAATTTAAAAGGAAATAAACTAAAGTAAGATCAATTTAACAGAATATAGATTATGTCTTTTCTCTTACTTTTTTGTAGGTTCTTTGTGAGTTTCACATCATGCACCCCAATCCCACTCATCTCCCCATCTTCTTTTACCTGCCCTCCACCTTTGCAACCTTCCCCTCAACAGAGAAAAAATGCCTCCTTGTGGTAGCTGTGGTGTGTCACAGTGTGCCCCACAGTATTCCCTTTTGTCCATACTTCCTTGCTTACAAATATTCATTGCAGTGACTCGCTGTTCTAGTACGAGGCCTCTGGCTTCTGCTACTCTATCAATACTGAAATATCACTGGAACTCCTCTTGGATATCCTGTGTTTGCCCCATGTCATGGAGTTCCTGTAGTGTTGGATCTGTAGGACTGGCCCCTCTATATACTCCAGCAGTTCATTGATGACATACAAATTGGGGTGAGCCAATGTAAAACCCTACATGTAGGCCTGAGAGGTATCTGCACTGGTTAGTCCATTGTCTCTCTGGCATTCATACCCTTAGGATGAGGTCATCAGGGACCCCCACAACGAGTACCAACTCTATTCTGCTGCCCAGGTAAGGTACAGTTTCTACTCTACCAAGTGTGGCAGGTGAGGGACATGGCCAGTTCTCCCACAATCATGACCCAGATTACTTCCACTCCCTGCCTTGGATGAAGAGGGACAAGGGAGAGGAGGATGCCATCTCCCCGTTGTCCACTCCACTGAACATCAAACAAGAGGCAGGGCAGGCTGTCCGGTGCTTACACCCTAGGGACAGCTTCAGGGCCAGGTCTACTATGCTGCCCAAGCAAAGTTCAGGGCCAGCTTCGCCCAAGTACTTCAGCAGGTGAAAGACAGGGTCAGCTATTCTGCTCTCATGACTCCAGGGCCAGCTTCCTGGCTGTTGTAGGTGGCAAAGGGCTTGGGTGAGGGAGGGCATCTCTCTTTGCACATGCAGACAAATTTCAGGACCAGCTCTCTCAAGCTTACACCCACATGGCCCGCTCACCAGCGCTCCTGCCATCAGAGTCAGCTCTGCTGTGCTGCCAAGGTAAGGTACAGGGATTGCTCTCTTGAGTGCTGAAGCAGGTTAAGGAGGAGGACTAGTTATTTTGTTCTCATGAGCTCGTGTGGCCAACTCTCCTGCCCACTGCCAGTAGCTATGGCAATAGGGATAGGAGGGAATCTCCCTCATGAATACCACCTCACAGGAGACAAGAGGCAGGGCTGGCTCTCCCAACACCACATCACAGGAGACAAGAGGCAGGGCTGGCTCTCCCATATTTATGCCCTCCGGGCAAGACCACCCTCAAACTTCACATCCAGGGTCAGCTCCACTGTGCTACCCAGTACTGCAGAACTTGAGGGGCAAGACATGCTCTCCCACTTTGATGACTTGGATTTAGCTCTCCTGCCTGCTGTAGGTCGCTAGAGGTGAGGTGTGGCATTTCTTCCTCATCCATATCAGAGCAGACAATTGGTAGGGCCAGCTCTCCCATGGTCATGCCCTCAGGGCTAGCTCATCCATGCTTCCACCATCAGGGTGAGCTCTATTGTGCTGCCCACATGAGGTACAAGGCCGGCTCTTCTGAGTGCTGCAGCTAATGAGGGGCAGGGGCAGCCCTCCTGATGTTAATATTCCAGGGTTATGCCTGCCACAGATCGTGAGGCACAAGGGAGAGGAGGCTGTCTCTCCCTAGGGTCTGCACTCAGGAGTACTGCAGCTGGCTAGTGGCAGAGGCAGCTCCCCTGCTCTCATACCCCGCCAGGGCCAGCTCTCCCACACTGCTCTGGCCAGGGGTGGAGCCAGTTCTGTACAGCACTCAGATATCACCATGTCCTCACAGGGTAGTGGAAACCAGAAATGTCTGCCTGCCCTTTAATGGTAACAGACCCCTGCTGCTACAGGGCTACAGACCCAGATCTGGCTCCAGGTGGCAGCACAGGTCAGAACCTAGCACCATGGTCCCACGTGGAATCATTACAAAATCATGTCCTTTCCCTATTGTGCCTACACCCTTATTTCTCTTTCTCTTCCATTTTTCTGACATTTACTCACTCCTTTTAGTGGTGCCTGTGGAAGCTGAGTGTCTGGGGTCATCTCAGGAGCGCGATCATGCTTTGTGGTGCCAGGCAGTGGTCATTTCAGGCATGGCTTCCTTACCTATGCCGGTATGGTGGTCATCTCAGACAAGGTTCCTCTCTCTGCCCCATGGCACCTGTTTGTTTTAGGCTCACCTCTCTCCCCTATCCTGCTCATGCAGCCCCTTGCAAAAGGCATCTATTGTTTCGAGAGATATTTAAATCGGTGGCATTCAATCTGGCTTTTCTTAATCAGCCGCCATGTTCCTGACTAGCCTAGGCCTGCAGACACGAGTGGTGGTGGCATATTGCCACTGCTCAGTTTATGCCATCTGCTCAGGTGACCAGAGACACCGGCCCTGCCACCCATGAGATGCCAGCGTGGGAGATGGCTCTGCCAGTCTCTTTCCACAAGCACAAGGTTGCGCAGAGCCCAGACCATCCTGCCATTCATGTGGGCCTGGTAGGAATGAGACTCTAATGCTTAGATTATCCAAAGGCTTTATATATTTGGTAATGCTCAATAACAAGATGCCCACACAATCAGGTGTAACCCAATACCCAACCTAGACACATCAACTACCATTGACTGCTAGAGACAGTCACATGTCTGCTTCCATGTTCCCCTCTCTCTGGTGTTCTCTCCCCTAGCTCCTCCTCTTCCTTCTCTTCCTCTCTTTACTTCTCCTCTTCCTCTCCTTACTCCTCCCACCTTAGCTCCTCCCAACTTGCAGGAAAAATATCCTACTACAATCTTTCTTGACCTTACTTTCACCAGGGGTTCTTCTGGTCTCTAGCTTGGCCCTCATCCTGGGAGCCCATCTGGTTCTGCCTGGTGCCTGGATTGTTGATAGTTTCAGCCTGGCATTTTTTTTTTCAGGGAACGTTAAGCTTCTAATTATTCAGATGTTTATAGGTAAGAACACTGAGAGTAGACACAGCCTCTCTCCTTTCTGCCACCAACTGACATACATATGACACAGTAACCACACATACAATGCCTCTAGGAGCAGAAGACTATATTTTTATAGATATAGTTCACCAAAGTGTTATCTAAAATAGAAGGATATTTTTCATTGTTTTCTGGATATATACCTGATCTAAAGTAATTTCACATAGTAATTAACTAGATAATTTGCTAGGTTTGGTATATTTGATGAAGTATGTCTGTTTACCATATTTTAATGTCAATCACATATCTACATATAAACCCACTTATCTAATTATATTTACTAGGTGAAATTAAAACCAAAATACATCACTAAAATGGTACGTTTCTAAGCATTTGGAGAATTGCCTAAATGTACATATATATAATATATATATATATATGGAGGAAAATGAGATTGAATAAAACTGTTTTTTTCAAAAGTTGAATAACTGCTTCCCACTAGTTCAACAAATATTTATCCTATTATTTACGTTATTTACCGATTCCATTTAATGGTGTTTATAGAAAATAAATCAAAAGCCATGTCTGTAGAAACTTCTATATATAAATGTTAATCGTCACTTTACTTTTACATAAAAATAATATCCCAAATATTAATTAACAGGTAAATAATTTTTAAGTGAGCAAGAAATTAAGGTTTATTTTAGCAAGCAAAACAATACTTTAGCATATGGGGAGGATGGACAGCAGAGTAGAAGGCAGACTGAACCAAATGGCAACTGCTATAAATTATTTTTCAAAAATTAGTTTAAATTTACCATGCGTTCTTTGACAGTTTCATACATGTACATAGTTTATTGCTAATTTTAGTCATTTAAGCCACTCCCTATTACTCTCTCCCATCCTACTTCTTCTCTTACTGGTAGCCATTGTCTTCTTAGTTGTTTATCTTTGTGTGTGACCTGGAGTTTAATTAGGGTTACTTGCATACACATGAGAGGGAAACATTTGCAGGAGCATAGACAATTTGGTAAGTGATGACCATACTGAAATAAATATCTATTCATTTGGCCACCATGAACCGTCAATAGTCCCTCATTGACATAAAGCCCTCATGAATTTTCCCACTTCCGTGATACATTTTTGCAGGGCACAATCTTGTGCAGGTCTTGTGCTTGTATATACAACCATGTCAAGTTTGTGAGTGCAATGGCTATATCATATTCTTTTCTTTCCCTTTATAATTACAGTCCCCATGCTTTGGACTGGTTGATGTCAAATCTATGACTCATTTAAGGCCAAGCACTCCCATCATCCCTTACTCTTAGTGTCCTTTTCCAGTAATAAGGCAGCTTCACCTTGTGCTCATTAAGAAAGCCATGGTATCTATGTAATCACCCAGATGCCATCTCTTGTTTTATAGTATCATGCTAGCTGGTAATTAAATAAGAAACCAGCTGTCTACTGCCCTAACATCTCTGTGTCTATTGCAACAATATGTACATGTTATAAGCTGATCATTATTATAGCTCATATTGTTCATAGCTAGGTAAAACTTCAGGTTTATACTCCATCAACTGCCTGCTGTAGTAGCTGACGGTAAGGCTACTTTCTCAGAGTCAAAGAATGAACTGTTCAATTATGTTAACATGATAATGAATCTCAAAATAATTTATGTTGAGTGAAAGAAACTAAACTCCCCCAAAGCATTTGTTTAAACATATGGAAAATGAAAACTAGTCTTAACAGTATACCAAATTAGATCAATGATTGCCAAAAGTCAAGAAGACATGTGTTAGTTTAAAAGAAAGGTATTACAAAGAGGCACAATAGAACTTTGCCTTGTGATTGATACACTCATTATCTTGGTTATGATGATAGCTTACCAGGTGCATAGACATATAATTTAATGAAAGGATGTGTTATGGGAAATGCATCATCAGTTAATTATGTCTGTTTGTCCATGGTGCAGTCTATTGCTACTGGGCAACATGACGGTGTAATGTGTTTCTGTAGTGAGAGTGCTGTAGGCATTTTTAATGTGATAATAATCATTTTCAAATCCAAAGAAATCAAAGCAAATGAGTGATATGCTAAAGATATGACATATTTTATAAAGTTGTCCACATATACTATGCAAGCACCATACCTGGAGCTCATGGGACTGGGGGTTGGCTTTGTGTAGGTAGCAAGCATGATGCTTAAAGGGAATAGGGTTTTATGGTGCACTGCTATAAGCTTCAAGCACTGTGATCTTAGGCTACATATTTGTACCAAGATTTACTTCTTCAGTAAATCAATTTTAGCTCATTACAATTTTTATTTTGAAGAGTTTTATTAAGCTTTTGGAGTCTTTTTATAACAATACAGTTTAAAACACAAATATATTGTACAATTTTAGAAAAGAATGTTTTTCATGATTTCGTTATACTATAAATTTTTCTTAGTTTTCATCTTTTATGTGTGTGCTCATATGCAAATGAGTATGTTCACATGTCAGGGTGGATGTACATATGTCTGTATACATGTATGTGTATCATGTGCCTGTGGATGTCATATGGCAACCTCAGGAGTATTTCTGTCTAATTTGAGACTAGGTCTCTTACTAATCTGGAACTCAGCATACTAGAGTAGCTGGACAGTTATCCCCAAGGATCCTGGCTCTGCCTTTTCAGCAGTAGGAATGGAGACAGGTGTCACCACTCCTAACCTTTTATGTGACTGTTGGGGATCAAATACCAGGCCTTCTGTTCACAAGGACAATGTCTCTGACTGGAACATTTCCCCAGTCTTCAGCTTTAAAGATTTAAGCTTTATTTTTACCTTTTAACTTTTGTTAAATGCTAATACATCCTGCTACAAACATACACATAACCAAGACTGTAGAGCCAGGGGAATTCTTTCCAGTGCCTTCCAACTCCCATCTTGGAATGCCATCATGTACAATAACATATCTGGGGCTGTCATCTCCTAGAACAACAAGACATGCTTCTGGAATTCTTCCCAAAAGACGTGTCTCATGCTATTTTACAGTTAAGCTTATTTTAAAAATTAAAGATAGAAATGAATTCTAAAATAATGCTTAAGTAGGGTAGTATAGTAATGTACAAATCAGCAAGTCACATCTTATCATTAGCAAGTGATACTTCCTGCACATGAATTCTATGTGTTTGAATTTATATAACTGGAGAAGAGATTTGTTTCACCAACACCACAAGTGCATGAATAATTTATTCCCAGTGACATTATGGCAGTTCCATTACCACTCTGTGGTAAGATCTTTGCATATGTGTGGTTGTTTCTCAACAAAATATCCTTATGTGGACAGGGCCTGCATTTACTTAAGGATTATAGATTTGTCTGCTTTCGGTATGTGCAGTTTATTGTCTGTTGATAATTTCTAATAAGGAGATAAATGAAGGTGGGTATATTTTAGAGAGGGTAGTGTGGTATGAGGACATCTGCAATCCCAGAGTGTCATGAGCATGTCTGTGCTTGTAGAGTAGCAGATGTGTGATCATACAGTACCATTGGCACAGGTATGGTCATACAGTGGTATTAGCACATGATTAATCGTATAGTAGCTTAGCACATATGTGATCATAGAGTGGAATTAGCACATGAAATATAATAATGTGGCATTAGCATCTGTGTGATCATAGAGTTAACATTAGCGAATGTGTGATTATAAAGTATCATTGGCACATGCATGATCATAAAATTCCATTAGCACATGAGTGATCCTAATGTGGCAGTAGTAAATGAATAATTGTAGAGCAGTATTAGCACATGTTGAATTGTCTCACGGCATCTAAAGCATCTAAACTAATTTGAGTGTCTTCACTGAAACAGGTTTTCTAGATTCTCACTGCTTTATAACAATGAATTTTAAAAGTGGAAGTTTTATCTAACCAGGCTAGCTCCAAAATAATTAAGATGGAGACTTACAGATTTATTCAACACTCTTTAAGCACAATGACAGAGTAGATATTTCTAATGTTCTTTGCTACCTAGGGACTTCCCAGCCACATTCCTGATTTACTTGCATTCAGCACCTGCTTTATCTCCCTTCTGGTCAAGCACACTCACACAGAAATCTTCATTCTTGCTCCCCATGACATCAACCTCAACTTATTTTCATATGTCTGTGGCTCCACAGCACAGAGCAATTCTTGATGGTACAGTTACCCCAGTCTTGTTAGCTCTCATTAGGCAGTTCTTCAGGGTCTGAATGCAGTATGTCCCTCTTTTTTTTATGAGGACTCTACAAGCAGGCTTTCAATTAAGGTAAACTTGGCAGGTGAAGAGAAATCACTGAGCAATATTCTATGCCGGGGTTAGACTGCTGTGATTGATTAAACTTACTACAAAGTTTCAAAAAGAGCATTGTGTGGTAACATGTGCACTGTAGTTTCAAAGGCTTCCAAATTATGGCAATTAAAAAAGCAAATTAAAACAACTTCAATAATTTATTGTGAGCTGTAAATATTCATGATAATATCTGATAATGGCAGAATGGGGTTTTCAAGAAGTAAGTGGAAATGGAAAGAAACATAAACTGTCTGTGCTGTGTGGACCATGATTCTAATGATTCTAGGTTATGACACAGTAAGTTCTTCCTAGAAGCTACTTGTTCAACCATTCTCTTTAACCTGATTTACCTGTCACAGCTTTCTGCTCTTCTAATGACAGCTATGTCACCATTTGAAATTTCTTTGCTGTCTGTCTGGCTCTACCTCTAGATAAGAAGGTTGTGGATAGAAGAATCCCTTAAGGTCTTACTCACTAATGGAAATGACACTTCCTTAACAAATCCTGTTCTTCTTACCCAGTCCAAATAACTAATAGGACAGTGTGCCAGTGAGCATTCTCTTCTGGTTTTAAAAAATATTTATGAAAAACCGTAGGGAGTGGGTCTTATGCTAAGGTCCTGTTCCTCAGTTGGTTCTTGATACATCAATAATGATACTTGTGGAATAGATGAGACTTCCTGGTCCCTGCAGGCAAGCTAGCAGAGGCAGAGGGAGATAGAGGATCAGGAGAACTGAGGAAGAGAAAAGAGTTGTAGCTGCAGAAGAAAAGCCAACTACGTTTTCAACTGTGAGTTTTTGGATAGAGTGGC